ACCCGCAGACCGCGAGATCATGACCCGAGCCGAAGTCGGACACTTCACCGACTGAGCCACCCAGGCGCCCCTAGCATATTGTGTTTCTACCCAGGCAGCGGGGCCCACGGCTAGGGCCCTCACAGGACTCCGGAAAACCCCTCCCTAGCTCTCAGCACTCCAGAGGGGATGGGGGGGGGGTGACAAGGGACATCCAGATGTGACCCCCTTTCTGCCTCTCCCCGGGCAGAGACCATCCCACTGCAGACCCTACAGTGTTATAATGACTACCACAGCCACATCACCTGCAGGTGGGCAGACACTCAGGATGCCCAGAAGTTCATCAACCTGACTCTCTTCCGGAGGCTGAATGAGTAAGTGCCACCAGGGCTCAGGGGTCAGAGGGGCCACAGGGAGGCTGCTGAGTGGGGCTGTGCCCCGGGGGGGGGGCTGGCCAGAGGGCAGGGACAGGGAGGCCCCTGCCCGGGAGCTCCTGCCCCATTAGGCGGCCAGCCAGGTCCAGGTGCTGATGGCCGGCGTCGGGGTTTGGAGGGGGGGAAGAGGCTCCTACGTGAACATCGCTGTGGACGACAGAGGTGGTGATACTCGTCCTCCATCACGGTTTAACAGAGTCGCCCTGCAAAGGTCAGTTTTAGATTATCTTTGCTGCGAAGTGGGCAGGGCAGGCGTGTGACGCCCAGTTCACAGGTGAGCCGACCTGAGGCCGCGGTGGCATGGTCCACGGGGCGGCTGTGGGGCCGAACGGGAGCCAGGGCCCTGCGGCCTCCGGAGTGTGGATTTTCTCCGTTGCCCTCGCATGGTCTCCAGGGGGACGTGCCGTTTGGGAAGATTCCGCACAGCGTTCTGGGGTCTGGTGATGGTCTGACCCACCATTCTGGGGATAAATGGCTGGCATCACAGGTGCAGAGGGACCCCCCCGCCCCGCCCCGGAGGCCGGACCCTCACACCCCCAGTGCCGGCCTCCAGCGCTCTGTCCCGCTCTCCTGGGAGCCCCCTTCTTCCCGTCTCCTCCGCCCTCCTCGCCCGCCTTCACCTCCCGCCCTCAACTGTGGCCCGATTCCTCCTGTGCTGAGACACAGCGCGGCCACCACCAGACGCCAGCAAGGCCTGAGGCCCTGGGGTGCCTCCTGACCCCCACCTCCTCCGGTGGAGCCCACCCTCTGCTTCCCCTTGGAGGCCACCCTCCCCCAAAGAGTTGGCTAGACCCGCAGCGTCCAAGGTCTTTCCGGTTATTCTGAACCTGGAATGACTGGCCCCACCGGGCCACCCAGACCGCTCGGGCCCGAGGCTACCAAGCCCTCCCTGCTGTTAAACCCAATGCTCGGTCTCAGCCTCCTCCCTCCTTGACCGTGGGCGGCACCTGACACACACCGGCCCCACGGACCGTGGTGAAAGCACCTGCCTCTCCTGGCCGCCACAACCCCCCCTCTCCTGTGTCTCCCCAGCTCGCCTTCTCTGTCTCCCTGTTCACTCCCTTCTTTCGTCTCTAACTTGAAGGGTGAGATGCCCTGGGGTTCCTCCTTGGATCTCCGCTCTTTCATACCTGACCCAGTGGCAGAGACCCAGCCCCAGGCTGCGCGCTGGTGACTCTCACGTCCTCTCCAGCCCCGCGCCTCCCCC